TTCCTTTTTTTTTTTCTTTTTTTTTTCCTTACACTGGGCATCTGATTGTTTTGTTACTCTGCCACATATGATTGTTGGTTTCTTCCGCTAATACTCGGAGGTTGTGGGTTCGAACCCCATGCGGCCTGCGGTGCACTAAGTGCCAACCTGCTCTAATAGTCCACCCAACCAATACCCCTCATCCTCATAGTAGGGTGATACCCCTCATCCTTATAGTAGGGACACCTACCACTATGAGTGTGAGCGTGAGTGGGTTGTGTGTGGTGTGTGGAAGAGTGTCGACCATTGTCACTGCTGCTACTCGATTGAGGAGGGGGGGGGGTCAAGTAGATGGGAGGCGCCGTTAGCGGGGCCTCCCCGAACGGCCGGGCCTCCCCCACCGACGGCGCCACCCTACTCCCTGACCACCGACCATTAGGGCGGGGGCAACATGCAGGGGTCCCCTGTATAGGCATAGGAGTAGTAGCACGTAGATAGCGGAAAAATAACTTGAACCAGGAAAAAAAGAAAAGCTCCAATCTATTCAGGGGCTAGGCCCGGGACGAGCACCACATGCTGAGAAAAGCGTGGCTATAGACGGTAAAGAACGGACAAACAAGGCATTTTTTTTATTATTTTTTGTTTGGGTTCCTTTTCCCCCCCCTCTGTCGCGATCATAGATTTTTATTTTTTTTTATTTTTTTTTGGAAAGCTTGATCATTTTTATTATAAAACGCTGCAGACTTTTTTTTTTTTTTTCCCCCCCTTAAAGCACAGAAAAGGCGGCTGAACTAATCAGTAACAAACCTCTCTTGGCTTCTCCAATCCTTCAGCCTATAGCATGCTATCCTTGCAGCGCAGAGAATGAAGTACAACGCGGGCATGTTTCTAAAGTCGAAGCACTGTTGGCAAAGGACTGCAAATCTCAAAATGCGCAAGGCGATTCACGAGAAATTTTAACCATTTTAACCCTAAAATTATTCCAAAAGCAGACTAGATAATCCCAAAATTTTAACCCAAACTCGTAACAACTTCAAACTGGACGTAATTGTAATCTCTCCACTGCGTAGCGGAGGATCGCTCGGCGAGGTTGACGTGCGTTAGCCTGGCTTGCCAAAATTTGCTACGGGTAGGAACGCGGGAGAGCTGTGAGGGTTAGGGCGCACGGGCGCGTGGTAAAGCCTCCACGACGGCGGTGAAACGCCTCGGTTTCTGCCCACCTTGGTCAGGGAAACCCGGGAATCCTAGTCAGCTTGGAAGGATGGTGACACGTGGGGGTGGTTGACGGGCAGGGTGTAAGCGCTCCACACATACCTTATATGGAACTTGTCAGGGGGCGACCCCCTGGCTTCGATATGGAAAACGGTGAGTTCACGTCTCAACTGTCCTGTAATTAGTCAGTGATCGTGAAGATGTTTTGAGTGAGATATTGACTTGGCTTCATCGAAATCAGAAGATGCTGGCGACACTGAATTTTGCAGCTGTTACGCATGACGTGGAGGCACACCAAGTGCATGTTGCTTGACGCCTATGTCCTGTTGTTTGAAGTACGGAGACAGGACGAGGCGGGAGTGGTCAAGGCGAAGTGGAGAGAGTTGACCTCATACCCTTGTAGATGGGTGGTATGGTTGAGGGTAGCGGTTGACGGCTTGGCGGACAGGTGCAATTCCGCCATATCAATTTAGGTTCCATGGTTTTCTGGTCAGCGCCGAATGTTGCCATTGAAGCTTTGGCGGACAGTATGGTGGCCGTACTTGCGTTGACTTGCTGATGGCTGCTGCTGACAAAAATTTCATCACCGCGATAGGATCGGTGTTGACACCCGTGTCCGCGTGGCTTCTTGGGAATTATAGCCGAAGACATTCTGGGACTGTGACAAGATTACTGTTGTCGACTTTGGTTTGTTGAGAAAGGATTGACCGCTGTTGGGCCTACTTAGTGGACTGAGGGTTTGCCTGATTGGGTGATCAAGAGTGTGTTCTTGTGGACATCATGGCGTCCTCTTCTGCTGGAATTCCGGCGGAGGTGGATCGCAGAGCGGAAGACCTGCGTGGCATGCTCCAGAACTGCTTTCTTACTGGTGAGGAGAACGAACAAACGGCGGCACGATACATTCATACGTATCGGGATGCCCAGGAGGATATGGTGGTGGTGGACTTGGACCCTTTGGCGGCGGATGTCACGGTTGGCTATTTGCGGCAGGATGGGGTGCTGGTGGTTTTCCAGGGAGCCGGCGCTGACGCGACGTTCGTTGAGAAGGAAGAATGGTTGCGAGCGATGGAGACGGGTTGGGATTTGGTCACAGCCCGTGGTCATCATGGCAGGATCAAACCAGAAGGGCTAACATGATCTCCTACTTGGCACCAAACCACGTGCTCCGAGACTGGCTACTCAATACACTGAAGAAATGCGATAATGCGGTGGTGGGCGGTAAACCATGCAACGTCCAGTTCAGGCCTTGGGCCACTCCGCAGAACAAGCGACGATCCGACAACAAGCGCAAGACAATTTTTTCTGGATTAGAATGTTGCGAGTGCCTTTTTTGGCAATGCCCTATCTTAAGGCGGCGGTGTCCAAGGAGTTCGGTCAAGTGTTGAACCCCCAGAAAAGAATAAAGCGGCGCCTAGATTGGTGAACCGACGGTATGACATGCATTCATCGGCGAAATCCAGGATATCGAAATCGTTGAAATTCCGATCTCCACACGGATGGCATAAAGTGGATGTCGTGACACATGAAACTCCATGGTGCCGCGACTGCAGATGGTACGGTCATGATAGTGGAGCATCGGACTGTCCCAAAGCGAGCAGGCCACAAGGACGATCATATTCGGAGGTGGTGGGTGGTGGTTCTTCAGCTTCAGCGGCAGGAGGGCTGCCGCCGGAGGGGGGACGTCCGCCGGGGGCGGCGGGTGGTCCTTCAGCACCAGCGGGAGGAGGCTTGCCGCCGGTGGGAGGACCTCCACCGGGAGGGCCCTTGCCCGGGGGACCTCCGCCGGGAGGACATCAGCCTGTGGGGAACAATCCGGGTGGTTCATCTGCTTCAGCGGCAGGAGGGCTGCCGCCGGTGGGGGGGCATCCACCGGGGGCGGCGGGTGGTCCTCCAGCACCAGCAGGAGGAGGCTTGCCGCTGATGGGGGGACCTCCACTGGGAGGGTCCTCGCCCGGGGGACCTCTGCCGGGAGGACATCAGCCTGTGGGGAACAATCCGGCTCTGCAAGAACGTGGTTCTTCTATCCCGGTGGCGGGAGGATTACCTCCGGTGGGGGGACCTACGCCGGGAGGGGAAACGACAGGAGGAATGAATCCACGTCAGCAGAGTGGAGGAAATCTTTTACATGAGCCTGCGTCTTTGCCTTCACCAGCTGCCACGCTGTTACCTACTATCGGAGACGGCCATCCCCCACCAATTTCGCCATTACCTATGGCTTCGTCAGTGCCTCTGGGAATGCCTTTACCAGTTGTTCGAGATGGGCATCTCCTGCCCACCTCGCCTCACCCCACGACTACTAAAGGAGGGATTCAGCTGCAACTTCGACAGCAGGCACAAGGAATGACGGTACCAACAGTTGGACCGGGACGGCTTACTGAGCAACAGCAACTTGGGGGGGATGATGGCTACAAGGAGGCACCCCCTATGACGAAAGAGATAATGGGAGAGGAAGTGCTTATGCTCCAATAGAAAGATCCATACCAATCGCAGCGAAGAAAAGCGACCACAGGGGGGCCAAGGCAGCAGCAACCGGGCCCTGACGATCGGCCTTCTCAGGATCGCTGTACCTTATCAGATGCGTCGCAAGCAAGATCTGTTTCTTGGGAAGACATGGCCGACGCGGCTACACAGCTGGAGGGGCTGCAGCCAACAGACTTGCGGAGTGCCGCTCCTCTATCACAACAACCGACAACACTCCAAGAAGAATCGCACTTGCAGCATCGACAACAACTCCAGCCGACAGAGATCAGACAACCGCTTCGAGCCCAAGTGTTTCCTGGCTCGATTACAAAAGCAATAGCGGAGGGAAAACCATGGGTTGTCGTGCCGTTGGTCTTCACTGCTGTGGATGGGCTTCTGCAGTTGCTGACAGCAGTTTCAGCAGTGGGACCTCTGACGATCACGCACTTTGAGTTGCACGAAGATCCATCCCCGCAAGTGGTACTACGAGAGGTGGGTAAGTGGATTTCTCCGGCCTTCAAGATTAGACCCTTCCCAGCAATGGAATGGCCCAGACTCACTCCCACCAACGATCAGGGAAGGACCGACATTATGGTCGTCCCGATCTTGGATGCAGTGGTCAACCCGGCCACCAAAGCGCCACCACCTCTTTCGGGCCTTCGTTGGTTGTCCTGGACACTGATGCAGAACCCGCAAGGACAGACTGTTGTGGACACGGATTTACGATTGTTGGAATGGTGGTTTGCTTACTCTGGTGGAGTCGGCTATCCCTTGGCACAAAAACCTATTTTCAAATAACTTCTTACACCTCAAATGCACGGATTGGGAGGACATCAACGGGTAAATGGACAAGATCAGATTAGCATCATGGAACGTGCGTGGGCTAGGGTCACGTAGGGTGGCGGTGAAAAGATCCTTGATTAAAACATTGATGAGAAATAAAGGAATACAGATCCTGCTGTTGCAGGAAACGAAACTGGATTCAGAAGCCATACAGGAGCAGTTGGGATGGTGGACGGGTCAACAGTTCTGGGCCCGTGCAGTGGGCTCAAGAGGGGGAGTTGCGATTTTGTTCTCTCGCAACTTCCCCTTCTTAGTGGCAGACTACTACATGGATTTTGCGGGGAAATGGGTTTGGGTGAGATTTACGGTAGGGCACGATGATTGGGCAGTTTTCAATGCATATGTACCGTTGTGAGGAAACCCGGGGAGGGGCTACCTACTGTACGTTGAAGCCAAGGGCTACGGCGCCTGTCACTCGCCGCGCCCGCTTCAGAGGTCCTCAGCGACCAGTAGGGTCCTGGAGGTTGCTCTACTCTTCACACCCTCTCTCTCGAAGACGGCTCATGCGGTTGCTCCCAAATGTCAAAATATACCCCGTTTCGCGCTGATCACCGTGAGTATATGTGAGTTAAATCTAGATTTGGTATGCTGAGATCATCTAGAGTAGTATAACTAAAAAAAAATCCCTGTTCCCAGTGGCCTGTCTGGGACACCGCGTGTCCAGCAATGCCCGTTTCACCATAAGCAACACCTTTATCTGAAAGTCAAACCCCGATTTGCTTCGCTGAGAACGCCGAGTGAACAAAATGGGCAAATGCAAGTCAGACAAAGCGCTAGTCCCCCGGTGATAGCAAGTTTGATTTAGAGACAGATCTGTGAACGACTCACTGAACTAGGGAAACAGCGAGAGGAATTGCAGGTTAAAACGTTTTGCGCAGTTTTCTTTAGTCCAAGGTGCCGATACTCGTCGAATGTGACGGGAGCTTGATGAATAAATCGGATGAACTTTCCCCTTCGCTGAATGTTCGCAGTGATCCCATTCGTTCGTACTCAAGTCCACCCCATCCCACCAGGTCTCTCTCTCTCTCGGAGCTTCTTCTGCTTAACCCTCTGTGTCCGCAAGCTCATTCCACCSCCCCCACTAGATAGYTGCAGGGAATTGACACTATACAAGATATCTAAATAATTAGATAAATTAAAGAATTAATAAATAAATAAAAYAGCAATGGTTGTTCTTGCCTGTCCACTCCCTTGATTCGAAGTTCTATGTGAGAGGCTGAGAGCCCCAGCGGTCTATTCTGACGCTGGATCAAATCCTAAGTCTTACCTTCCGCTTCCCTTTGTGCTAGTTCGGCAACGTATGCTTGATTGCTTATTCTGGATGCATAGCTGGGTCTACTAACAACGGAAATGCCCAATTTACAGATCAACGACGACCTCGGTATTCTGAAGAAGTGACCAACATCAACCTCTATTGATGGCTCTGCAGATGAGAAGTATCCTACTTTCCAACACCGAGATTGCCCGTACAGTTTGTTCACTGAAGAAAAATAGCCCCTGAAAGGAACCGTTTCCGCCCGCAGCGGTGTCACATGTTCGACAGTAAACTGGGGTGCATCGTTCCTGCAAATCTCTGAYGGTTGTTGTTCCCGTTAGCAGCGGGATTTCATATTGGTAATTCGCCGACCAGCTCTGTCCCCGCTGGCTCCCTCGCCCTTCTTCTCYTCCTTCACAGCCTCTTCTTTCTCACTGCGACCTCTCTCTCCTCTTCCACGAATCTCTTCCCCTCTCTCTCTCGTTCTTCCCTCCTTGTTACCACTCTCACTCTCTCTGCGTTTTCCCCCCCTTTTTTTCTCGCCCGTTCACACTCTGCGAGCGCGTGTGTACGCGTATGGGCGAAACGATTTAGCGCTAATATTGTGAAGAGGCATACGGAGGCATATAACTCCCAGATCTGTCTAGGCTCAATATCAGCATGTAATCTCACTCCTCGACGTGGACTAAAGCTCAGATGAGGAGTTGCTCATGGCCGCTCATCAGTGGAACGGGTGTATCAAGCCCTCGAAACTATAATGTATCTGCTTCATTTTTAAGGGAAGATTAATACTTCTTTATTACACATCGGCGAAAACGGGCATATCGAGCCCAAGAACCTGAATGTAACTGCCTCTCTTTCAAGCGCAAATTAATGCATCTCTATTGCACGCTGATCGCGCACCCTTTTCGAGCCCAGATATCGGAATGTACCCGCCCCACTTCCTGGAGCTGATTTATGCATCTCTACTGCGCACAAAGGGTACAGGCATTTCATCCCCGGATATCAGGATGTATTCGCCCCACTTCCAGGAGCTGATTTTTGCTTCTCTACTGCACACAGATGGTACGGGCATTACAAGCCCAGATATCGGGGTGTATTCGCCGCACTTATTGGGGCAAATTCATACTCGTTTTCTCACACTAAAGAAGCGGGCTGATTAAGCTCAAAAGGTTAGGTTGCTTGCTGGTCAAGCAGCGGAATCTCATCCCCTCGGGCGAAGTACCCGCTTACCTCTCACGCACAACCCGCGCGCCCTGCCTCTTACTTAGCCTCATAATCAAGGCAATACCCCTTTAACTAGTAGGGGCTACGCTCGCCATGCTTGCCAGATACGAACTGAGAGCGAGCCTGCAGAATCTCTCCCGTGYACATCCCAAACTYTTTCTTCCTCYCCTYTTTACCGTCWRAAGCAGTCCCCTCTTCTCACACTCTCCCTCTCCTACGCAAGTATCCGCCTGAGCGCCGACGCGTCTCCCCCTTGAGCTCTTCTCCGACTCTGCTACTGCTTGACGCCAGGCACACCTCGCATGCAACCCCTCAGTCCTCTCTCTTCATCCCYCTGCAACAGTCTGCACCTCGATGCTTCCACCCTGAGCCAGGTCTCGCGGGTACGCCTTGCACACTGTCCTGCTGGCTCCCTCCGTCTCCCTGTGCCTTTCCCTGCCTGCATTCAACTGCGAAAGGGGCTGGGTACACCTTGCGCGCCCCCCCTCCTACGCTTTGATTGTCATCCTATATGGTCCGTGAACAGGGAACTCTAGCCGCAGAAAAGGACCAGCCAGCATCCCTTCCTAGCTGAAGACTGGCCCCGTCCTTACCAGCGGTACCCAGTAGTCTCAGGGCCAGATTTTAGGAGTCCCCCCCATATCGATGGCGCCAGCAAGTCGGGCCAACTGCAGTCCCAACTCGTGAAATCGCCGTTCCTATACGAAAGCTGTGGCCCCCAACCGCCCCCAAACCAGGCAGTGGGGTACACATGTCAAAGCTAGTCGTGTCGTACCAAAGCCAAACTGGTTATCAGCTCTGAAGTGATCGTTCCCAACAGTAGCAGCCTGAATCCCGAATACCGTGCAATGGAGCAACACCTTGCCAGTCCCGTTCCTGTGCCGACCCAGCTTACCGTACCCGTTCCGCTCTGGTAGCCATGCCAAACAAATATACAATGTCATGCCAAGGATGTACCAAGCCAACACCAGACAAATCATTGTACCGTACCAACCAAGAATGTAGCCATGTCGACCTTGGGTCATCATACCAGTGCCGAGCCTGCGACTGATCCTGCAACCATACCAAAACAGAGGTGTAGTGGGCCAGCAACTCAATCCAGGGTTGACCCGGTGACAATGTAGCRTACTGCAGCAGCCCGAACTGGACTGGGACACTGTATCAAGAAATGRCGATGTCGGGCTGCCAAGTACCGTGCTTGTCGCGAACCTGAAACCCCTGTCTCGAACTGCGATGACCTGAATCGCCCCAATTGCCGAACCATTACCGAATCTAAAACGTCTGTCCCGAGCTGCAGTAACTCGAATTATACCGTACCAAATTAGAATCAAATCGAACACGCGACGACGTCTCTAACTGCAGTGGCATGTACCATACCGACGTCGTGTCATTACTGAACCTGGAACATGCCGAATATCGTACAATGCCGCAGTCCCGTGGTAGTACCAAACCTGCTCCGAATCCTGAAGGTAAGTTCCAGCCATCAGAGCCATGCCCATACCAGATCAATTCCGATCTCGCGAACAATGAAGCGGCGTGTACCACTCCGATACCGTACCAGTAACAGACTCCCACAGTGATCCGAACCTGCCAATAAATCACCCCAGAGTCCCCAAACCTGAAATAACCCGCCGTAATTGTTTCGAACCTGATGTCAAGTCATGCTGATGTATCCTGAACMAAAAATGAGCCCCCGCCGTAGTCGTAAACCCGAAACTAAGTCATCGTAGTGGCCCCCTTGACCTGAAACAGAGTGACGCCGAGCCCATACCAAACCTGAAGCCGGAA